GTAAAATTTTCTTTCCATCATCTTTCAATATTAGTATTTGATAAATCTCAACTGATTACAGTGAGTAAAGTGTTTATCATAATTTGTATGAAGTCACCAGTGATGAAACCATAGTTCATATAAAACAGACAGAAAAAAATTCAAATAGCTTTGTTTTCATCTTATTTTTGTCTCGCCTGCAACTAGAGTCGCAGTATGCGAGACACAGGTATTACTATCTGGTGGCCGTGGCGGCGTAAACTATTTGTATAAAGCTTTATATTTCAGAAGGTAGAAGACCTGGATGCTTCATATCTAGTATGCAGATACCTTATGTTACGAAGTTTCCGTCTGTCATATGTCCAATGTCCTTGACCTCATTTTCATGGTTCAACGACTGCTTGAAAAAATATTTGAGTTTTTTGTCATGTGAATTTCTCACTTATTACATTATGAGTAATAGGATAACCATATATGGTATATCGGTTCCTTGCAACGTCTACATGTCCGTCAGACTGGGTTCACCTGACCTCGACCTCATTTCATGGATCAGTGATCAAGGTTAAAGTTACGTGATTACGTTTGTTTTTGTCTCGCCTTGACAGAGTCAAAAAGCGAGACACAGGTATGCTGTTTCCGGCGGCAGTGGCATCAACAATGTATTAGTTTGTGATTAGGTCTAGTTTATGGTGAAACATTAGTGGTAGGTCAATGATATTTAGTATGCAGTTGTATTAGCATTGGCACATCTCATTTCCATGGAGATTATTTGGCCCTGCCCCCTCAGTCATGGTCTATTGACTTTGAAACTTTTGCTGAGTTTACATGTATTAGTTTGTGATTAGGTCAGTTTATGGGGAACCACTAGAGGTAGGTCAATGATATTTGGTATGCAGTTGTATAAGCATTGGCATATCTCATTTCCATGGAGATTATTTGGCTTCGCCCCATCAGTCATGGTCTATTGACTTTGAAACTTTTGTTTAGTTTACATGTATTAGTTTGTGATTAGGTCAGTTCAAGGGAAACCATTAGTGGTAGACCAATGTTAATTGGTATACAGGTGTATAAGCATTAGCACATCTCATTTCCATGATGAATATTTGGCCCAGCCCCCTCAGTCATGGTCTATTGACTTTGAAACTTTTGCTTAGTTTACATGTATTAGTTTGTGATTAGATCAGTTTAAATTGAACCGCTTATGTTAATTTATTGATATTTGGTATGCAAATTTATTGGCAGTTGCAAGTCTCATTTCCATGTAGAGTATTTAGCCCCACCCCCTCATAATGGCTCATTGACTTTGAAACTTTTACATAGTTTACAAGTTAATGTTTGTTTAAAGGGAACAACTTATGATAAGTCAATGATATTTGGTATGCAGTGGTATTGGAATTGGCACATCTCATTTCCATGGAGATTGTTTAGCCATGTACCTTTAGTCATTCAAAAATATGCATTAACAAAATTACAAAAAGGTGAGACATATCTCTATGTTAACAGTTTATTCAAATACTATAAGCACCAGGTCAATTATACGTGGTGTATGGAATGACTGTAATGGTATATGTCAGTCATGCAGGTTTCATCTAACCTTGACCTCATTTTCATGGTTCATTAGTCAATTTTTGTGTTTTGGTCTGTTTTTCAAGTACTATAAGCAATAGGTCAACTATATTTGGTGTATGGAAGGATTGTAAGGTGAACATGTCTGTCTGGCAGGTATCATCTGACCTTTACCTCATTTTCATGGTTCATAGGTCAATGTTAAGTTTTTTTTGTTTTGGTCTGTTTTTATACGCCTGTTTACGGGACGTATTATGGTATACCGTTGACCGTCTGTCCGTCCTTCCGTCGTCAACATGTCGGACATTAATTCAAAAACGCTTTAACCAATATGCATGAAACCTTGGTGAATTGTTTATATCTATTGACGTGAGCTCCCTTTCGTTTTTTATAAATTTCAGATTTACCATTTTCGAGTTTTGGGGTTTTATTCATTAAAAAAGGGGGGATTTTCCAGTTTTTGGACAATTACTCAAAAACAATTTCACCAATTTGCATGAAACTTTGTGTGAATTGTTCATATCTATTGATGTGAGCTTCCTTTCGTTTTTTATAAATTTTGGATTAACCGTTTCCGAGTTTTAGGGTTTTATTCATTATAAAAGGGGGGATTTTCCAGTGTTCAGACAATAACTCTAAAACAATTTCACCTATTTGCAAGAAACTTTGGTGAATTGTTTATTTCTATCAACATGAGCTCCCTTTTGATTTTTATAAATTTCAGACCATATGTTTCCGATTTATGGGGTTTTATTCATTACAAAAAGGGGGATTTTCCAGTTATCGGACAATAACTCAAAAATGCTTATGAAACTTTGGTAAATTGTTTATATCTATTTTTGTAAGCTTCCTTTTGATTTTTATAAATTTTCGATTTTACGTTTCCGAGTTATAAGATTTTATTTGTTTATAGTCTGACAACAGATTTATTCAATTATCATAAGCAATAGGTCAAAAATATTTTGTGTATAAAAAAATTGTAAGGTGTATATGTCTGTCTGACAGCATTTATCTGACCTGAGTTTCTGTGATGCTTTTAGTTAAACCTTTATCTTTAAGACTTTCAACATAAAATCAATGGTCAGTAAGCAGGCGAGACATTTCAGCATGTGCACTCTTGTTTCAAATAACTAAAACTAAAATTACGGTAGGTGTTTTTCATCCAAGTTTATCAATCCCAGTTACCTCATGATTATACCAAACTTGTTCACATTAAGAAGCTGTACTATAATTGTATGATTGTATTTTGATACTTATTTGGGAGCACATATACTACCTATTGTATAAACTTATTCAATGATTTTCTAATCTTTTCTTTCAGTTTTGTGACTTGAACGGTGACGGTTTTGATGATTTGATAATAAGTGAGCCTAATCGAATAAAAGATAGAACTGAATGGCAGTATATCAGTAAGTTCTCTCAATTATCTTCAAAAGTTTCATTACCACTGAAGAAATATATTATATTAAAAGGAAGCATATATGCAGGACAAACAACACCATGGTCAAGTGAAAAAGACAATCAATAGAACTGGTACATTTAAAACTTAAGAGCAACATAAACCCCAATGAAAAATAGGGGTGAAATCATTTGCTTTATAAGGGTAACCAACTGTTGGTACATTAGTTGCACTTTTTATGTTGTTCATGACAGGGAACATCCAATGATAAGTCCTTTTTTGGTGACAAGTCATGAACAAGGAAATGACAAAATTGTGGCTAGGACAAATCAAGTGCCATCTAAGTGGTACTGGTATATATAAAGCTTTTGATGAGATGACTTCAACTTTATGATTAAAATATTTCTTGTTTTACTCTTGATCACTAAGAGTACACACTTGTTTCAATAACAGTAAAGTTGACCCATTAGCCCAGAAGTAATCAAGTTATGTATATCTCTTTTAGAAAATGGAAGAATTTATGTGTTTTATGGAGGTAACCAGATGCCAATAGGAAAAGCCACATTTTCCACAGCATGTGACCAAGAACAGCCATGTCCATCAAATGTGGTAAGAAGACTTATTTAATAATGATGTGTTTTGTATATATGATAGATGTTGATACAATATGTAAATTTCTATTTTTAAAAATTGAAGCTAGCACATTTAATTGGATTTACATCACAAAAATAATTCTGAAGTATTGTGGTAGGTAAAGTTATGGACTATATTGTTCTAAATACCTTAGTACAGAGTAATATACCGGTATTATATCAATGCCTATGATAACAACTGTCATAATATTTAATGGAATGACACATTGTGTGCGATCAACAGACACAAATATTCTTTTAAAATTAAATGCAAATAAACTAAACTAAAATAAAAATATGTGCTTCACAAACAAAGATTTTTTTGCTTCATTTCATCAGTTTGTTCATTTATAATATTCTTTAAGATTATATAGATATAGGAAGATGTGGTATGAGTGCCAATGAGACAACTCTCCGTCCAAGTAACAATTTATAAAAGTAAACCATTATAGGTCAAGGTACGGCCTTCAACACGGAGCATTGGCTCACACCGAACAGCAAGCTATAAAGGGCCCCAAAAATTACTAGTGTAAAACCATTCAAACAGGAAAACAAACGGTCTAATCTATATAAAAACGAGAAACGAGAAACACGTATGAACTACATAAACAAGACGACAACTACTGTACATCAGATTCCTGACTTAGGACAGGTGCAAACATTTGCAGCGGGATTAAATGTTTTAATGGTACCAAACCTTCTCCCTTTTCTGAAACAATAGTATAACATCACAACATAGTATGTATTTTATTTAAGATTACATGTATGTATTTTATTTTTAAAATTACATGTATGTATTTTATTTAGAATTACATGTATGTATTTTATTTAAAATTACATGTATTTATTTTAGGCAAACTTTACATCAGACTCTTTAAATGAGCACAGTAATAATGGATATTTTGTTTATAATGTTTCTGACAAGCATGGTGTAAGTATTGGTTGGAATGTTTCTATTAAATCTATCAAATTAATAGTATATCATATTGACTATGTTTGGCCATTTATAGTAATGGTAAATCTTGGCTTGGTGGGAAAGGAAAAGAGAATACCTGTTTGTGTAATCAATTTCTTCTGCAGTTCTCAACCCAGGGACTTCAAACTTATTAGAATGCTTGTATTTATATTGAAATTGTGCACCTCTGTTGGCAGAAGTGTTGCAGATTTCCAGATAGCCATACAGGGTCTATCTTTTTTAGTAAATGTTAATACCTGATATTTTACTTCTAGAATCATAAAATCAATTAGAGTGCCTCATATACATAGAATGAATTCTTTACTTCAGTTTAATTTATCATGATTTCTCTTTTGGCTTTATTTTATGGATGTATGTGTATAACTATATTTTTATGTTAATCTTCCATGTATATTTATATTCATCTGATATAACTGTGCCACTATTGATTTGTATGTTTATCTTCTAGGTTTATTTATATTCATCTGATGTAGCTTCTGACGCAGGATTTTATAATCATGGAGCAGGAAGACGATCTGGTGTGGTTTGGAGATATTATTTCAAACATTAATTGTAAAGCAGTAATTCAAGGATGAAGATCACACCGCCTCATCATCAGAGTAAACACAAACATGTAATAGATCCCACATCTGATTTGAAGATTGATTTACATTGAAATTACTGCTGTTATGTACTGCGAAACTTGTCTCATAATAGAATCATCATGGCTCTCTGTCATAAAACTTTACTCAGAACTCAGTACAAACTTTGTGCTTGAAACACCAAATCCAGTATTTTGATTGGCTGAGTCAGAGAATTGTACTCAAAATTTGTATAACCACAAGGATTGACATACCACACAAGTTTGACTCTACCTAAGCATCTAGCCTATCCAGGTTACATCATGTTTTTGTAATGGGCAACGAAACAAATTCTTCATCAGTTGAGATTGTTTCTGATAAACAAGAGATATTCAGGACTTCTCTCACAGGAATTGTCTCTCTTTGAGATTTTTTTTTATTTTACTCAGTATCCTTATGAAATATTGACCAGTATTACAAGCTTTTCCATATTAAGAAAGTAAAATTTTACTTTATGGAATTATGTTATTTGTATAATTAAAATATATATGTTTATTCTAGGAATAGCATAAACAATTTTACATATTTAAGATGGACAATTTTATTTGTCTTTGTAATAGCTGGGTTGCATTAAATGCTAATCAGACTGATAGTATGGTGATTTTTTAAATGTTGAACAATCTTCCATTTGGAAAATTTGTGTTATTTTTATCTAATATGTCATAGAGACTAAATGGGTGACTTGTCAACTAGCACAATGAAAATCAAGCTCAGTCTGTAGGTCTAGTACAAAGCAGGGTTCATATTCATATCACATTCATTTGATCTTGTTCTGAATATGCATTTAATTTGCCACTGGAATCTAAGCAGTCATTAGTTTAAACAAATTTAATGTTGAAATATAAAAACATGACAAAAGGATAGGACACAAGTTATACAACTTTGAATTGTCATCTACATTACAAAGATATAATTACTTTTTACTCACAATAAGATCTTAATTGACTAGATTGACTGTTTTCCTGCTGAAGGTTGGCTGGTTTTTAGCATAAAGATTGCATGAAATGCAATCAAAACCCTATGGTACTGACTTGATATCTATATCTTCCAAGTTTTATCACTACCTTTGATAGTTCAAACAAAATAGTGCAGTAAAAGTGATCATTATTTAGATCCAATCCAGTCAAAGTTATGCAATTTATTGATGATATGTAATACTTTGATATTTAAGCTACAATATGATGTGTATTTGAAGTACCATATTTGTCAAGAAAATATTACTTAAAATTACATAAGTAATGCATGGTGTATGAATCTGTTATAAAAATAGGTTCAAATACAAATGTACAATCATGAACAAAGGAAGATAACTCAAACTCAAATTTTTAATTTGCCTAGTAAAATACAATTCAATGTTTTATTTAAAAATTCACAAAATTGCAAAAATGGAAGCACAAGCACTTTGATTATTCAATTGTTCTGGCTTTCTCCACCAATAAAAACAGTCTGTCATGATAAAGCAAATAGTGCTGAGAGTGGTATTAAATACCAATAATCAATCAATCATCCTTTGTAGGTGTAGATCTGGACACAACACTTTATAGAAGGGGTAATTTTATAACCTTAGCATTTAAAAATACAAGATCAGATAAAATATCATTGTAGATCAAAATGCCTTATGAATAAATATGATTGACATTTTTTGTTTCTTCAATTTTTATAAAGATTTTTTATATTTGTTTTGTAATCTATTTATGTGATATATATGAAAATAATCTGTCATTAATAAAGTATTTTTTTTAAGTTCTTTCTTTCTTTGTTTAATTCTCAATACTATTTTAAGTATGGTTAATGCTAAAACCTATCACCCTATGTGCAGTTTTGTTTCTCTCCTGCAACAAATATGACAAAATGCAAAACATATACATTCTTATCTGGCTGCGACCTTAAACTCTTGAAAAAAAAAATCATCCCCTATGTTAATAAATTTTCAATTCCTCTTTCTGGAAAGTATGATATAAAAATTCTGTAAAAAATACATTAAACAAATGTACCATCCATTGCAAATTCCTCTTTCCATCCATATCAAAATCATAAATGAAAAATGTTTATACTGTAAAATCAGTTTCTAGAATTGAAATATTAAAAGAATGAAATTTTCTGCACCTTTGAACAATATGATAAAAAAAATTATCATGAGATTATGAAAATGAAAATTTCCCCCACTTCACCCTCATCTCACCTATCCTCTTCATGCCGGTCGGCCTTTAAGGCCTGGATCTCAATGTATCTTGGGTTTCTGTAATTAGCTACTTTAACTCTGCCTGGTGATTAGCCATGCAAGAAATCTACTACCTGCAGGGTCCACTTTTGCTTTCTGGGTTTTCCCTCCCATAGACGATTGCCTGCCATGGTTAACGAGCTTCGTCTGCCCGGATTTTCTTTCTGGGTTCACTTTCATAGCCTTTGATTATCCCAAATCTAAACACAAGGCAGTGAAAATCAATATGCAATCCAGAGGAATTGGACAAATAGTATAACTGAACATAGATATGCTCCCAAAAACAATAATTTACAGCTATTATTTTGGGAGGCAAAGATCTTAATTTCAAGTATCTTTATATTGGTCACTGGTTTTATACAAGAACTACACGGATTAACTTTTTAGATGAATCTTTAGTTGGTATTTTATTTGGTAATTTATTCTGTTTTTAAAAATGTATCAACTTAAAACTTTAAACTGTGAACATGATTTGGAGAAAATAGTAATTTGCAATTTACACGAAATTCTTATGCACTGACATTGACATTCATTCAATATAAAATAAGGAGTTGTAGTATGAATGATAAAGAGACAATTATATAACACAGTCTAAATGTAGCCAATTTAAGCAAATAAAGCTCGCACGGTACGGCCTTCGATAATGACCAAAGTGCATACCGTACAGTCCGTTATATTAAGCTAATTTTATTGACTGAAAACAATTGAAATCATCTTTAAATGAGTACATCATTGTTTCTAATTGCCGGAATACATGCTTGGCTAAGGAACCAATTAATTACGAATGTAACAATAATATTTGTGTCTACGGTTACATTGCGTTATTGTTACATTAAAGACTGCAATGTACGCAAGATATATTAAACTTAAACCTATAGTTTTGTTGCTTAATTTTTCGATATGTACTAGATAATATTAGTGATAAATAATAATAATAAAAACAATATTATTCAACAAATAGTGTTTAAATAGTATTAAGCATTGATTTAATTGTTTTGATGTTCTTCGAGATATTAAAATTGAGTATGGAAATGGGGAGTGTGTCAAAGAGACAACAATCCGACCAAAGAGCAGTTTAGTAGTGCCAAAGGCGAAAAATATAGTTCAATGGTTCGCTGTTTAGAACTTGGGCTGAGAAAATGTATTTACTGGTTTGTGATGGCTGCTTGGAGTGATTTCACAAAAATGCGTCGGACTTAAACATGATCCAAAAAAACAACATACTGGCCTGATTTGTGGAAACTGTCATTGTAAATAAAAAAATTAAAAATTGTATGCAATATTGTAAATATCAAATAAAAATTTTCAAGTTTTGTTTTCATACATATTACTATAGTCCCATCGTACATTGCAGTGCATTAGTGTAACAATCACGCAATGTAACCGTAGACACAAATATTATTGTTACATTCGTAATTAATCGGTTCCTTACCCAACCCTATATTCCGGCAATTAGTCTCCAATGTAACAATAATATTTTTATTATTGTTACATTTCCATGTAACCGTAGCCAGTGCCTTAATAATAACATATTGTATTTATATTATATATCTCTGATTGAATGATAATATATTACTTAATACAACATAAACACAAATTTAAGCTGCAAGTAGAAGGTAATAAATGATACAGTATCGAAAATGGCTTGCTGTTATTGGAAGCTTGGAATAGTATACTAATATTGTATGCCCCAGTTGGAAGCTAGCCCAAAGTACCTTATCCTCTGATACATAAATCGTGTATTTTCGCTCTTTAATCAGCTGCTGTATTTCCATGTAGGTTAAATACACGTATATCACGAACTGTCGGTCGTACCAATAACAGTAAGAAAAGAAACAAATCAGTATCAATAGATAAGATCTGTGTGAGAATTTCGTTATCATGGTCGAAATTGACCGATCACTATAAAAAATAGATTTAATCAGACCTCAGCTTATGTTGTTAAATTTTATTGGTATATTTGGATAAGTCTTGTTTAGTAAGAGAGATTCTGTCGACCAAATATCAGCTTATTGTGGTGTTTCTTAAGGTTGGTATCTCCGTAATTTAACCGTTAACTACAATTCATAACAGTAAGCACGAAGAAAATAAATCTGCGATAAGAGGGTCAAAATTAGGGACCACCGGAATTCCAATCACTTGGCGGTTTACACAGTACTTTATCTCCAAATTGCGCAGTGACCTTGGTTAGTTTACTTCCTTGTCGTTCGGTCTTTTGTGGGTAGTTGTTTCAATATCAAACATATCATATCTCAACATTAAAAATAAATTTTATATGTACGTATTCTCAAGCAAAAATGTCTTAAATGTAAACTATGGTCAATTAGTGTAACTTGTATGTTTTTTACAAACAGAATTGTTACCATTGCAACAGAATATTCACAACTCAAAAGGATCAAAAGGGTTAAACAGTAATTTGTAGATATTTTTAAAACTCAAAATTGTTATAATCGCATTTGAAGAGCTGTGGTCTAATAAATGAGAATGGGTTTCTGTGTGAATGATCACACGAATCGGACAATTGGTTTTGGATTCCTTGTGTACAGTTGCTAGTATTTCGTCGTGATAATGTTTAAACTGGCAATAGACAGTTTGAATGTCAAAACAAACTACCGACAGATGTAATAGTCGATGAGCCAAGCTAGTATTATTGTTTTTGATGATAGAGTTTCAACATGTGGGCTTATAAGTGTTTTAAGCAGAATAGTTTGTGTCTGCCCAGAATGACATCTAATTTTTCATAACATTAACTCAGGTTTTTTAAATACCTCCCTAAATATTTTTAAAAAAAATTTTAAAAGTCCCAACTTCAAAGTTTATTTGTCAGTGAAGGGTTTGTTTATTGGTAAGCATACGAACATGTTTATCGGTAAGCACGGGACCATGTGTTTATCGGTAAGCACGGGACCATGTGTTTATCGGTAAGCACGGGACCATGTTTATTGGTAAGCACGGGACCATGTTTATTGGTAAACACGGAACAATGTTTATCGGTAAACACGGGAGCAATGCATAACAGTTTCTACTAAAACGATTCTTTAATTTGTGCACTGTCTCGATGTTCCTTATATATGTTCCGATGAGTTGTTTCATGTTATATTTATTTCAACTCATGATATTGGTTTTGCTTTTCGCATTCTAATACGCTATATATTGTTTTCTATATCAAGAATATTTTGTTTGTCTATATTTGTTCTGAATCATCAACTATAATGGGAAATAATGCAGATATTGAACTCCGATGAAGTATCGCAAATCAAAAGTTTAAAAGTACTGCGGGAAACAAGAAAACTCTATGAAAACAAAGGTATAATTTTGTCTTGGTTTGAACAAGATCAGTGGTTGTTTTTCTCCGCGCAAAACCGAAATTGAAAGTGTTTGTTCCTATTCTATCCATGTTTTTGGCAAGACTCAAAACGTACATATATTAAAAATCTAGACTTTTATCTTTTAATTTCCTACAAATTCAGAATATTCAAATTAAGTATAGGGAGCTTACAGGACAAAACATGAAGTTTCAAATCCTTTCTTTTTTCTGTACTGGTATGATTTTTTGCGAAGAATTGATATCCTGGTTCTTAAACGTGAAGTTTGAACGAAATTCTACCAAACAATTCATTTGGAAATGGAGATGTTACATGACAGACTTAGGGGGACATCCCTCATGAAGCTACATATATGGTAAGTGCATAGACTTTTTACAAGTCCCACTCCTAACGTTGTCCTTCCGGGGAAACCCCTTTTCAATATCCTGGATCAGCACCTGCAAGTTTAAAACATTGCAAAAATGTTAATAAACTGAGATCAAAATGTCAAGCAAATATTTTGAATAAAAGAAAAGTTTGGATTTTAGATTAATATCTATAAGTTTTAGTTTATAGTGTATAATCATGTAATCAGTTGTACAAAGCATTTACCATGATTAATTTAAAACATTTTAACTGTTTTTTTTTTGTAAATTTTTATTAAAATAAAACCCTATATGAAATGGAAGAAGAAAACTGTATTACTATGAAATAAAAAGTAGAACGTAAAACTGACTAATTAATGTCCGTTTAATACATGAATAATCAAAATTTAACAGAGCCTAATTAAGCATTGAGTGATTAACAATAGGTATCGAACCACCTTAATTAAATGACATTCTGATTACTCCAAGCCAAAAGACAACTCGTCAACTGTCAATAGAGAACTATCGTTAGTTAGATCAGGGAAATATGACATCATATACTAAATAATGTCCATGCCAAAGTTTTCATGAAACTGACAGATCAATTTTCGGAATGTCAGAACTTGAACTTTCAAAGCGGAGATGAGTTTATAAATATCCCAAGCTTTGGTTTCAAATCATTCCGACAACCAACGCTTAAGAATCATACATCATGGCATTCTTTACCAGTACACCTAAAAGTAAACTTCTGATAGAAGAGAAAGTTAGTTTGTTATCGCTAGATAGCGGAGATGAAGAAGGTAAGTGTGTGCTAAAATTTTCTCTAGTTAAAATTTCTATTAAAAGATAATATTTTGATATTTTTAAATCGTTTTGCTTCTCGTATATTGTCTTGTTGTTGTCTCTTTGACACCATCCCCGTTTCTTTTCTCTATTATATTAATTATATCTTATGCTCGGACGTAAATAAATATGCATAACTTAGTTTTGAGAGTATAACAAGAACAAACAAACAAAGAACGAGTAGAAAATGAAAGACAAATTTGTTAATTCGATGTTATTCTAATTGGACTGTAAGCAAAAGGCAATTAATTTATCATGTATTTTATTTTGTTTGGTTTTAAAACACTTATCTTACAGTATTCTTATTAATTTCTGTTTCCAGACTTTTCATCGGGATATGATTCTCCGCCGATTTACATCTCTGATCAAGATACAAACAGAAACTGTCAAAGAAGATTACAAATAGAACCATCATCTGATGATTCAGATTTTTCGTCTGATGAATCGACTCCGTTGGATTATTCCTCATCTGAAGATGACGATATTGGTGATGATAACGATATTGATTCGGTAGAATCGATGAAAGTAACCAGTACACAAACATTGATCGATAACATCCGATACATTTTATCGATGCCAGATTTATGCGATGTTTTGTTTATCGTAGGCCCACAAAGAGTTCCTGTGTATGGATTAAAGGCTATTCTGAGCACTCGAAGCAGGTAAGAAATCAAATAATAAACAAACACAATTCAAAACAGTCACATGTTCAGTAGTTGTCGTTTGTTGATGTGGTTCATAAGTGTTTCTCGCTTCTCGTTTTTTATATAGATTAGACCGTTGGTTTTTCCCGTTTGAATGGTTTTACACTAGCATTTTTTGGGGCTCTTTATAGCTTGTTGTTCGGTGCGAGCCAAGGCTCCGTGTTGAAGACCGTACTTTGACCTATAATGGTTTACTTTTATAAATTTTGACTTGGATGGAGAGTTGTCTCATTGGCACTCACACCACATCTTCTAATATCTAACAACTACTTAATGAATTCATTTTTTTCTTTATGCAGTATGCTAGGGGAACCGTAAGACCAATTTCCTATGGATTTATTTCATTTGGCATTAGGACAAACGTCTTGTTGATAGTAAAGCTATATATTGTGTTTCGAATACAAATTAATTCTTCGATTCAATATTGCAAAAAACAGCAATATCGTATAAAAAATGCCTTCAACTGCAACATGTAACGCTGTCGAAGATGTTTTTCTCCATAATTGCTGGAAGTGTAATAAAAAAGGTTCAGAACCATTCTCATTTGTAGGTCGTTTTTAAAAATCTTGTTGTTATTTGTTTTTGAGAGAATTGTGGAAAAATCACTTAAAGTAGCATAAATACTGCAACATGATACTTTAACCATGAACTCGACCAGGTAGGAATCAGTACCAATGTATATCATACGAACTAATTTACAGCTGTAATTTTCATTTGATAGGTCATTTTTCGTTATGTTTTTGAAACACTCAAAAGAAGCCATGAAACAGAAGAAGAAGAAAACGAAGAAAATAAAGCACATTCAACCGGACCAGAGCAACAGACTGACCATCATAATAGATAATTACGATGCTGATATATTCCGTACATTTTTGTTGTTTGTCCACTGTGGGTCAATAGTAATGGAACCATCTTCAGTTACTGGTAAGCATAAGTAGTGAAATAACAATGTGAGGGAGCAAACTTCTATAAATTCAAACTGATTCCAGGTTGGCCTGGAAACTAATTCAAAAGAATATTTGTTCTTGAAAATGTCGAATGTTCTAGTATTTTTTTTATTCGGAAAAGTTCGAAGTGTTTGCACTTGTTCAAAACATAATTGAATACTATTAGCACTAGCAAATTTACGATATATTACTCATGCAATAGTTACATATATCTTCAGCTTTCTTTAATTTAGGCTCCAATTTTCCTGATACAGTTTATCAAATGAACCTTTTGCATGGTTGTATGTATGTAGAAGCTTACGCTTCAACATAATAATATCTAATGTGCTTTACGGTGAATAATTTTATTTTGAAACTCTAATTTCTAGTTATCTATTTTAGGGCTACTTTGTTTGGCTACAGAGTTTGATATTCCCGACCTGCGTAATGCATGCTGGGATTTCATTGAACGTTGCCTGTCGGCGCAAGCTAATACCTCCTTATTGATGCAAGAAACATTCCGTTTTGGCGATCACAAAGCTGCACAGAAACTTAGACTGAAGGTAAAATACTTTTTTCTACTGTGGTGTGTGTCTGTGTTGGTAATATGTGTTTTTGTGTGTGTGGGTGGGGGGGGGGGGGGTGTTTACTAAAAGAGTAAAGTTCTGTTTTAGCATAATAACTGAATTTCAAAGTATTGAAAAAGACAAAACAGTTTAAAAGTGTAGTGTAGTTAACAACATCGAAAAAAGAGTTTAAAAAAACGATAACATTATGCAGTTTGTTCGTCTTAGATCAACGTTGACTTACACTGATTATTGGCAAGGTGTTTTCACGTGTTTTTGCTTTTTTTGCAGATTTTAAGAATTCCGACAAAGACTCTGTCAACCTATTCGACAGTTTTGAGAGATTCAAATGATTCCCGTAACCGTGAACACGATTCCTGTATTAGCACAGAGACATTGGTTTAAATTAACAGACTTATATCAATAATAGTGCTTAACTTTATTTTATATGAATTGTAAATAATTATATGACTTCTTATTCAAGTATACAAAATTGTATAAACCAAATATTAATAGTGCTTATTAAAATAAATGTTTACATCTGAAGACGTTTTACTGTAGTTGACAATGTCCTGAATTATTTTTTTGATTTTCCGTGTTGTCTCCCCGGATTACTCCTTTCATCATAATAGAGTAATTATCGTATTTCCTGTATAATATTTATGCATTGCAGTTATAATTTGTATCATGACATTATTTTGAGTGTTGCATTCACATTGATATTATAGTTTCGTTCTATGTTTTCGATGCACAATTACGTACGTCTCCGTGTGCAGTACATGTTTTCGGAAAGACCTTCATCAGCATTAGCAAGTTCTAAAACAAATAGCCGAACAGATTCCAAACGTATACGACAGAATAACCACCAAAAAAAGATTAACAGAACAAACTGTCTTAGGTCAACTTTGCCTGATTAACTGGTAAACCTTGTCTACTGGGTGACTGGTACCCTCCGGGAGAATGAATTTTTCACATCCAGCGGTACCAATCCAGTCATTGTAAATAACATATGATACATTTCTGTTGCGCACCGGTTTCCGCCACGACCTTCATTAGACATGTTAGAATAGATGAAGTTAAGATCAAAATTTTAGAAATGCAAAAATATGAAACAGATGAGAAAAAAATCCACAATGAACAATAGAACCCAGTAACTTTAACATATAAATCTTTAAGGTCAGATTTCTCTCCCTAGTAAATCCACAATATAACAAAACATATTATTATCTTACTACAACTCAATATTAATGCAGTTTTATGTATTTGATGTACGTTTAATAAATTATTATATGAAAACCATAAAAAAACGATCTGAAAATAAGCAGTTTGATAAAGAAAATATTCTCAAGTTTTTGTCCATGTCCAATTTTGTGTATTCCCGTCTTACGATACCATGCTTGTTCAATTTTGTGTATTGACGTCTAACGACCACATGCTTTATAAAAAGGGAGATATGGTGTGATTTAAGACCTTCACTTGAACCATCTTCGTTAAAAACGGCAAAGATTATGCTGACTATCCTGAACGTTCAACTTGGTAAAAGTCCCAAACAGAACCATGATAACTCTGCACCATGTTCCATACGCGTACAACCTCTAACATTTATCTGTCATTTTTTTATGCAAAAAATCTTCTTATCAATTCCAATTCCGAATAGACAATTGTTTTCACAAAATAACCTTTCGATTTATTTAGTTTAAATATTTCATTAATTAAATTCAAGTTATACACAATTCGTTATTTGCCATGAACATATTATTACAATTGAATACGTAATAGTCGTAATAGGATTCAGAAACAATTTGTTGACTTAACCAATCCATTCCTAAGTACATGTATTTTTTTGTATGATAAGAAAAATGGTTCCGTGTATAAAATCCGTATTTATAAAGTATTATCGGTAGAATAAGTAACCGACCGTGCGAGACCCTCATGGGTATCCAAGGTCTTTAAACAACACTAGTAGTAGTAGTAGTATCGGTAATATACTATAGGAAGAAAAAAAGACGTGCAATACAAGACCGGTCGCCGGCTACAATTAAAGGGTTTTCGTAGTCAGTTTGGCAGATGGAGCACTTATGATATTGACATGTAGTAAAAACAACAAGAAAACCAGAACGAAAAAATAAAAAAAAAACCAAAACAGTATGATATGATTGCCAATGAGACAACTATATATCCAGCAAACACAAAAGTACAAAGAAATGGATAATAACAGGTCACCGCATGACTTCAACAACGAGTAATACCAGACTGCTTTCTGGGGTATAAAAAGTCCCAGGATGACAAATTGTAAAACAATTCAAACGAGTCTGATCTATAACACAACAATAAACGACAAACAGCATTTAACGACAACTGGTTTGGAAAAATGAAAGAAAGACCTCAAGCAATTCCATAATAGCAGGTGTACGATATAATTGAAGTCTTTCTCCGAGTACTGGGTTGAAAACTGTATAGTAGGAGTTGTAGTAGGTATAAAATAAATATTCACTTTTCACCATCCGTGCGCACCCGACAACCCACCAACCTATTCGACATCACCATACTATAAGCCTCTTAGTATAATTGGGATTGTCATCGGGGTATAGAAGATAAATGTTGCTGCACTATTTTAGCTGAGTATAATCATTAAAAGTAATTGCTTTGTGATTGGTCCTTATATCATGTTAAAGATAACATTTGACACAGAGAATCACTTATAAAACTTGACTTTGGACAAATAGACAGTTGGAGCAAAAGTACAACATGGGAACATCGGTACTCATCGGCTTACTTGTTTGTTTAGTCTACGATGTATCAGGAAAGGCGGTTATTGTTCATAAAAGTAAGACTGTTCTTCTTTTTTTATGTCTATCAGTTGTGAAAGACAAGTCGAATGGACATTAAGCTAAGAAAGAGAAGGTTCAACAATTCTGTTGATATATTGAAAGTACCAGAATGAAATTGATTTATTCATCAAAGCAAGAGCGAATTCAAGACGTAGTTAAACGTCTCGGGGTTTTAATATTCATGTTTTTAAATAAATGCAGAATATCCAAAATTTTCGGATTGACTTTAAAAAAAACTAAGTTTTAGCCAGACTTTTATAATCTTCTTTTGAAATCAGTAAAAAGTAGCAAATGTTATACTGAATTCTGATTTGAAATTTTTCGTAAATGTTAAGCCTGATTTTCATTAAAATATTTGTATGGAGATCACAAACCTGATAGTTTTTCATTACAAGTATCCTTCTTCTTGTGTGTTGTTTTAATTTCTTGATGGTCATATTTACTGCCAACAAATTAAATAATTCCAGTTTATAAAACGAAGCGTTCAGACCATCATGTTATTTTCAATTTCCTTTTATAAAAACAGTTATTTTTTTTTCTGACGATTAACTTAGCAATAAAAACTACGAATAAAAAGTATATATGTCCCATGAAAGACAAAAAAAAACAAAACAAAAAAACAATATATATATACCCATAGAGTTTTTCTGTAAACTAAATATAAAGAAAAATAAATTGTATGAAATATATTTCGTAAGTTTCATCAATATATCGTTTTAAATCCCTGTACAAAAACTCCAAATTAATTTCGTCTCCCTTCTTTTACAGTTCAATGTTTGTTTGTTACTTTGAGTTGTATCTTTTTTAATGTATTCATGAGATTTTAACATCAGTAAGATACTGATGCCTCTATAATTTTAGCCACAAAAAAAACACATTTTTAAGTCTTAACCTAATACTTAATAGATTTTTACATAAGTTGTCTTGATTACACATTTCATTGTCCACGTATAAAACCGTCCAAGTAATATTTGTATGCAAGTTATACAATGGTTGACCGTTTAACCACATGAACGATTAAACTATACTATATTTTGACCGCACGATACGCGATAAGACTGTACTTAAAACTGCAAATACGCTATCTTTAACTTTTATGTTTGTGTCCTTTGAACTTTTATCATGCCAAAAAAAAAATAATGTCCTAAGCATATAAATGCAAGCAATGAAAAGGAATTTCGAGTAATGGAGTTCCGGGGAGAAAAGATGTGCAAAAATTCCTTTTTGATGCCTATACAAAAAAAAAAATCAAACAAAGTCGACAAGCTAAAATGCATATATAGCTATTAAAATGTTGCGAAAAATGAAAGATCATGTAATATATCTAAAAAGGTGTTATTCATTTTTAATTTTACATAACGTTTGACCTAGTTAAGGGACATATTTCATATTTCGACATTTACAGAAAGATAAGGAGACATGTTCTAAGGTTAAAAAGCAGTAAGGTTTAAACAATAGTTTTCCAGGTACATTTCCAATAAATTAGAATATTAGGTCCGTGTATTTTATTTTCGTAAACATGAATGCATTTCGTCAGTCTGTACTATACCTGTACAAAGCGTGGTGCATTGGAAGTTGTGTCAAGGAGTTTTCCAATTATAACCTCAATACAATTAGGCACAAAAGAAATATGCTAATGATGGCAAAGAATGCACTATAATCTAATCGACTTTGAATTAGAATCACGTGACAGAAAATTAACTTTTAGGAGCATATTGTGTATTTTGAAACGCAATGTAAAATAGAGACATGAAGAGAAATTCCATAGTCTGTTTATCTAAATGCAAGTAACCCTAGTCTCTTAATAAATTTTACCTCCTTTACTTCTATCTCAACGAACAATCAAACATATTTTAGTATGATACATACACGTATTGTTTAATTGCCAATGAAACAAATTAACTATTTTCCAAACGCAAATATGCTGAGAAAGTCTACAGGTTACCTCAGCACCTTCAACCATTATACGTTTTACGGTTAACTACTGACCCACTACGGATCTATAGAGGGTATGTTTAATCCGAATATATGACAATTCGGACCAAAGACAAGTCAGACCAAGACAACTCGGACCAATCTTGAGACAACTCGCACCTGACTTTTAAAGACAATTCGGACCAGTTAAAAAGACAATTCGGACAATTCGGACCAGTTAAAAAGACAATTCGGACCAGTTAAAAAAACTATTTGGACCACTTATGAAAGCAACACAGAACAGTTTGAAAGAAGGTCGTGTCGTATTGGAGGTACTTTTATGACGAATAACGTTTAAAATCTTGCAAAAACAACGTTAATGGTATTTTTTACATACCTTTTTGGACTTGACGAACTTGACGATGAAGAACAAATAATTTCGATGTAACCATTTGGATAAGATACACTGACAGATACATGTAATACCAATTCCCTCGTTATGTTTTAAAAGGCTCAAACAAGGTATACCAACACTGGTGGCAAAAAAGGATGGAAAAGGTTTAATAAGAGAAATTAAAATAGTTGTCTCTGAGATTGCAAAATAGTTATATCTAATAAATTCTTTCAATTATGTTAAATTCAATTTGGTTAATTTCATCTGTCTTGAAAAAGTAAAACGGAAAATATTAAGGTAGTGTTTTCTTTTATTTCTCACATTATATGCTGATCAAGTTTATGTTATACATGTAGTAAATAAGGTGTTGGCGATTTTTTTCAATATCAGCTGATGACTTATTCGTAATGAAACATAAAGAATATCTCGTTATGAATGATGTGTCATGTGTAAAATTGAGATTAGGATTTAGGTAAAAAATGATGTTATATAATTTTATTTGATAACATATAACTACTAAAGAAATAATGGCCTCCTCCCAGGAGGTGAAATAACCTTGTACGAAATCGAAACAGTGATTAGAAACCTCAAGCTACGAAAGGCACCAGGATATGACAAGCTGCAAAACGAACATGTGATATACAGCGGAAGTACACTACATACAGTCATCCTCCGTATTTTTAATGCAGTGATTCGATTCGGTCGTATTCTTTTGTGTTGGAAGCATGGCATATTGATTCCATTGTATAAAGGTAATGAAAGTGCAAACAAGCGCCCGGAAACTATCTTCCTATATCTCTATTACCAATACTGTATAAGCTGTTCGAAACGGTATTAAAGAAGCGACTATTAACCTCTTTGAAAAATGATTTGTTCCCCAATTCACAACAACAAGGTTTTCTAAATGGACTTAGCTGTATCACTGCCTCCTTCAACTTCCAAGAAACTATTTATATATATATATTACCTTTTAGAATTAGGATGCAAATTGTACGTTGCGTTTTTGGGCAGTTCCCGTGCGTTTGATACGGTGTGGCATAGTGGCCTAATTTACAAACTGTACCAACTTGGGATAAATAGTAAAGCATTACAAGTGATTTCGTCAATGAACACGTATCAGTACCCTTCAAAGTCCGACGGGGCGTCAGGCAAGGCGGTGTACTATCGACTCTTCTTTACCTGGTTTACATTAATGACCTAATAAATGAATTAGAATTAGTTGGAACCGTAAATATTTCAAATATTCGTACAAGTAATCCATCATTTGCTGACGATGTAGTTTGTATTGGTACTTCACCACAAAGACTCCTAATTCTGTTGAATTGTGCGTACGATTATTCACTTAAATGGAGATTTGAGTTTAATCCTCTGAAATCTGTATTGTGCTACAAAACTGAACTAGACCATGTATTCAATCTAGGTGATAATAGTGTTAACGTTTCAACTGAGACCAAGCACCTTGGAATATTAAGGACGGTTGACTTATCACCGAGCACAGATATTCAGCATTCATGTAGGAAGGGTCGCAATGCTTATTTTGCTATAGCCGGTACTGGATCTTGTTTGTTAAATCCGTTAACTGTGTGTGTGGCCTCTACAATAAAATCGTTATGCCTGCGGTATTTTACGGATGTGAGCTTTGGAATGGGATAAAACCAAAAGACAGAAGGTGTCTTGAAACTTTCCAGCATTTCATTGTTAAACATATTCAAGGCTTCCCTAAACGAACACGGTCAGATATGTGTGAATCTATGACCAACCTTGAGAGACTACCTATACTAGTAGAAAAACGGAAATTGATGTTCCTGTATAAACTTTGCGAAATGAAGGCCGAATCACTTACCAAACAAATTTTCATTTATAGACTTATCAGTTTTTCGGAGATACCCGTAGAAAACAATATGGATTCATCCCAGATGTAATTAACATTTTATCAAAATATTCACTTCTGAATTTTTTGAATAGCTATATGTTTACGGGCAGTTTCCCAACCAAATTTCAGTGGAAAAACATTGTCAATAGTGCGATTAACCTAAGTGATAGATTTCAAAAGGAAGAACGAATGCGTAGTGACAACGATTTTATAAGATTTCTAAGATTGTCTGAGAACAATGGCTATGATTTCCTGTGGCAATATGCAAAAATTATTGGCAGACTTCTAACCGCGAAACATGTAGCTAAACTTTGGTCTACTCCCCCGATTAGCGGAAATTGCAACTTGTGTGGACACTTTGTTCAAGATACACTTTACCATAAAATTAGTATGTGCACAGAACGTCAAACACAAAGACACTTGCTGTATAAAAGATTATCAGAAATGACTAGTGACAATTTCGTATACACACTGCTTTCAAAATCAGACGAGAACGTGTCTTGCTTTCTGCTTGGCAATCGGGCAACATGGAGGCAAAATTGGATATGAAGAGATGACCATATAACTGTATTATATTGTCATTGCATGTAAATATATTTGTTGTTTGATTTTTTTATGGATGTATCTGTTAATGCGACGGTGTTTTCTCATAAATGTAAAAAATGTAATTTAGCCACCATGGCCACTTTCGTAAAAATCATCATCATGGATATTTTAAGATGGTCAGTTAGGGGAAACTGAGAAGAAAAAAAATCTAGACAAAACAAACAAAAATCATATTTGAAGAGCCACTGGTCTAACAAGTGTTTCAAACTGGCCCAAGTTGTCTTTAAAAGTGGTGAGAATTGTCTTAGGTCCGAGTTGTCCTGATTCCGTAAAATCGATAAGGGTTAGGCCGAAGGCCGAATCCCCTATGGACTTTACTAATCATCTATGGATCCGCAGGGGGTCAGTATAGTGAACCGTATAACGAATTTTTCGCACAGGGTCCAAGTTTTGTAAAAATATTAACAATTAAAAACCAATTGTTCAGAGAACAATTGAAGGTCTTTCCACCCGAAAAGATCTTTTTTGATACAAAAATATTAAAATTCGGTTAAAAATGTTATTTCCAGCGTCAAATGATAGCTTATTGTACGCTGGTTTAAAAAAATATATGGTTTCTAGACATTTTTTTCTAAATAAGCAAGATAATTTGTTACTTCCGGATTGAAAAATGTCACTTCCGGTATTATGTTATAGTTTACCTGACACTGATTCCAAAAATATATGGTTCTATATACTTGTACATTACAAAAGTACAAAAAATAGCTATTTCCGGTTTACACAAGGTCACTTCCGGTTGGCTTTTCCAAGGTCATATGGCTTGCAACCTAATGCATAAAGTCCCATGGCTTTATCATGTATACATATAAAGTAAAAGCAAAGGTCAAAATCTAGAACGTCAAATTTACCAATGACCTTGAGCTCAATTTGAAGGTCATAAATCAAGGACCTTAAATCAAAAGACAATAGGTCTTTATTATATATGGTGAATGAGTTATATCACCATACGCGTAATTTTAAATCTAAGAGGGGAGAAAACTCCAATTTAATGTTAGCGTACCTTTTTAACCAAAATGTATGTGTTACGACATGTCGCAACTAACAATTTAGTAAAAATATGTTGTCGATATCTTATACGGTTTTTGAAAAGAAGTGAAATTAAGCCAAAATCTATAATTTAGAATATTACCTTGACCTCTGACCTTGACCTAATTTTCTTTATTTGGACCGAGGACCTCAAATCAAAAGATCTTAGGTCTCTATCACTTATGGTTTACCAGTTAGAAATGCATATCACTTATATCAAATGCATAAGGGGGAATAACTCTCATATGGATTCTCCGGACAGCTTCGGTCAAAATAAAACGTAACATCCTGAGCATATAATGAGTATTTTGGAAAAATAAATTTGTCGCTTACTTTTCGGGTTGCGAAGGAGATCTCATAACAAGAAAAACAGTGTTCGGGGAGATAACTCTTACACAGAAAAGTGTTCGGTTAAACAGGGTCAGTTTCAAAAGCGTATAGACTGTATGATATTATATACAAAAAAACTAAACGACATCTTTTGAAACAAAAATACAGCGCAAGAAAAAAATTAGGCGGAAGAAAAAAAAAAAAAAAAAAAAATAATCAGACCACAACCAATAGGTCTTTCCACGGAAAAGTGGAAAGACCTAATGAAATACAAAACATCAATGGATGACATCACTATTCTGTAAATCCCTCTTTTTTCATGAGAACCTGGAATTCTTCAAGTAATTGTTTTACACTATAGTACACTATTTAACCAGTCTGTTTTCTTCCACCATTAATTTGTGTTAATTAGTTAAAAAATTTAATTTAGTTTATAGTAAGTTTATTGTAGTAAGAAAACCAAGACGGGTTCAAACAGAAAGATTTTGAAAGAAGAGAAAACTGTGCACCTTACAATCAGCCTTACTTTATCAGATGACAATACGAATACTTAAAATCTAGGCTAAAATAAGGCATAGATACTTTAATTCAGCCACGGACCAACTATGATTGCTATTTTCTATTACAGGATCTTGCACATGTAATGGAGATCTTGGATGTTTCAGTATATATATATTTAACTATGATCGTTGTTTTCTATTACAGGATCTAGCACATGTTATGGAGATCTTGGATGTTTCAGTACCAGTTCGCCATTTTTCAGTATACAGAGACCCATCAACTTTCTTCCTCAGAGTCCATCTAAGATAAACGTCAGATTCCTGTTATATACTCGCCAAAATCATGATAATGTACATTTCATTAACATGAATGATTACACTGATATAACAAATTCCCAATTTTCCGGAGGAAGACCGACAAAAATTGTCTCGCATGGTTTCCTTGAGAACGGTTTCGTAAAGTGGATGAAAGTATGTATATATCATGTTGTGTGACTAATCATACGCATATATAGGTAAAAAAATTACAGTCATATACAATTGAAATTATGCAAAAGCAAATAGATATTTTAATAAATTGTTTTATGCTTTGTTGAAGCACATATGTTGTATGCATTATAGATCTTGTTTTGTCATCCCTTGTACCGGTATTTCCATTTTAGTAAATAGACAATATTACTTAACGAATGGGTTTCCTTTACGATTTTGAGTAGTATCAGGTGTTTAAATGAGTGACTAATCGGCTAATAACTAATGTTTACAGTAAAATAAGTAGGATTATAATTTCATGTTTTATCACTGAACAGGACATGAAGGATGCTTTCCTGACACAGGGAGATTACAACGTTATATTAGTAGACTGGGGAGGAGGATCAAAGCTTCCATATACACAAGCCACAGCCAATACCAGAGTTGTAGGAGCGCTTATAGCCAAACTCATCAAATTTTTGCAAGTAAATACGTTCATCGCAGTTTTAAATCACTATTTAAAAAGGTAACAGATGATGAAATAGAGGTTGAATTATAACCCATCGGAGAAGTCATGCAGGATGTGTTGGTAGTGATGGTAACTTGATATAAGTCCAGCATTTTACCTATCATTTTTATTAGAACAAATCTGTAATTTAATTTTTTTGGGGGGAGGGATCTGGGGTCGGGTTTTTGTTGGATACTATTGGTTTTGATTTGTATTTGAAAACTTTTGTATTTTACTAGGTTTGAATTTATATCTCACCATTTAAAGTCATACGATCTTTAACATGTATACATACTTTCTTCTAACAAAAAATCCTTAATTCTATCCAAAATTTCAGGACATGAACTTCTATTGAAATATTGTCTTCTCGTACTCTAATTCGCCGACAGCCGTTTCCATATGCAGTGAACTTAATATGACACCTAACGTAAGAAATTCGGCAAACGCAATGCGAAGGGAAAAACCGTGATGGAAGAAAAAATAAACAAACATGGAAGGAAGATAGTATTAACCTATTATGAAAAAAAAAGAATATATACACGAAATCATTTAACCACAGTTATGACAAAGGTTTATTAACAAATGGAACGCATGAAAAATATAAAAAACATATTAACTCTCTCATCTCACTTAGTATACACGTGCTCGCCGTTTTCAATATCCATGATTCTGTTTTGATTATTTATTAAGGTCACGATCGGCAAAAAACCCGAATGTTGATTGATATCACATGACCTTTCTGCACTTATTATTTACAAATAAAATTCCCTAAAGATTAAATAAAAAATCAATATTATTGAAATTGAAGGGTTTTATCATTCCTTCTTCATGGCATCAATCATTGCATTTTTTACAATTAAACTATTTCCATCAGGAACGTGGAGATGCCAAGCCACAAGATATGCACATCATTGGGCATAGTCTTGGTTCACACATTGCCGGATATGCTGGTGAAAGAACACCGAATCTTGGACGTATCACTGGTATGTTCTCAGAAAGCACTAAAGACGGCATCCATAGCTTATGCCTACATTTATTGATTGCGTCTAACTACTTAAATGGTCTTTTAAAGTACATGATGTATTATTGTAAAGGGACCGTTTGAAAACAATATAGCATTCAAATAAGACCTTTTCCAAACAGACTTCTAAACAATAACTCGTGATTTGAATATAAAGAAAATCGACATACATATTTTGTTTATAACAGTTTTGACACTAACCGATTTTATTCTCTACTATACATGCACGAAGTCTATTTAAATAGAAGAGGCATTGAACTAGGACCTCTTGAGAACAAGATAACAGAGAAATAATTTTACGTCGGGCAAACAACAACCACATGAACATAATATCTTAAAGTTTTCCATTAAACACTAAACAAAATGCGCATTTTAGTTATTTATATGCATAAAAGAAGATGTTGGGAATAAGCCAATGATATATCAACGTAAAGAAACAAATAACCAAATCATATCTAGGTACATATCTATTCTCCTCTGTTTGTTTGTGTTTTTATGTATCACTTAAAACACTCACTATAGGGTACAGCTATGTTTTGGTCCACGCATTTAACACAAATGAGGCGCATTATTAATTATAACTTCATTTTCGCTTGTCGTTTTGATAATTTAAATGTTTTCGACCATTATTTGATGTGATTAGGACTAGATCCGGCTGGACCTTACTTTGCGGGTACAGACAAACTTGTCAGATTAGATCCAACCGATGCCACATTTGTGGATGCCATTCATTCTGACGGATCACCATTAATTACATTAGGTATGTACAGTCAATGTGAAATGTACTTTGGTTAGTTTATCTCTATTTTACGAAACGTTGAACAAAATGTTGAGTTAGTAATTAATCTATTGTATTGTTTGGTCATTGCGATCGAAATATTTTTTAATTTTCATTTATGAAATTTAACTGGAAAATGAGCTCCCGTAATTAGAAGAGAAACTACGAATATTAATAGGCATTAATTAATCAGTCATTATTGTTAATACTAACAGCCACAAATCTAAATGACACGGTTTCTGGGTTTTACATAGGATTTGGAATGATGCAACCAGTGGGACATGCTGATTATTATCCCAACGGTGGTAATAACCAACCTGGATGTGACAAGGACCCGATCAGTAGTGTCCTTGTTGAAGGAAGTCTGTACAACGGTTTGTATAATGTTCGTCATAATGTGTTATCAGTAAAGTTTATAAAAGGTAAACTATACTTTGACCACAATAGTAAAGATATAAGGACAAAATAACTGTTCCGAAATGTACTTATAATTGTACTGGAATTGCTAAATGGTCCCCGAAGAAATTTCAGAAAATATTATTTTTTCTCTGGCCAGTCCGCTTACATGCAGTCGAATGAGTTAGTTTAGTAAGCGTTCTTATAACACACCAAGCTTTTGTGTAGGCTTTTCAATTTTATTTTTGTTTAATAAGGGTGGAGATTTGTTGAAAAGTTAAAGCATTTAATGTTTAATTTCAGGTGGAAAGCAGTACGTTGCCTGTAATCATTTGAGGTCATACACGTACTTTACTGAATCAATTAATTCTCGTTGTCCTTTCACTAGTTACCGGTGTAAAGATTTCGACTCTTTTCAGGTAACAGATATATTTTTTTAATGTATATTTGTCTTTTCTTTCACAGACGTAATTAAACTTTTAAAATGTTGAAACTTAAAGGTTTAGACATGTTTTGCAATATAAACCTATTGTCTTTACTATTGATTCTGAAATAATCTTTATCAGGTATATATAATTTTTTTTATCATGTATATCTATTATATAGTCATTTTATAAAATTTACAGTTTGCAAAATTATGAATTATTCTAAATAATAAGGATGTTCTTGTCCCAGGCAGAAAACCCTGGCCGTGTTAGGCGCAACTTTTTGGAAGTTTTGGTCCTCGGTGCTCTTCAGCTTTGTACTTGTTTTGGCTTTCAAACTTTTTTCATCTGAGCGTCACTGGTTGGTCTTGTGTGGACAAGACGCACGTCTGGCGTATTGAATTTTAAGCCTAGTACCTCTTGTTAGCTATTATTCGTGTGTTTCTTTTTCCTATATGTTCTCCCATTTATTTGTATTGTGGTCCTGTCATGTGATGTTGTCGTTTTGGTGTTGTGTTTGACGTTGCCATAAAAGCGGGAGGTTTGGCATGCCACAGAACCAGGTTCAACCCACCATTTTTTTCTTAAAATGTCCTGTACCAAGTCAGGAAAATAGCCAATGTTATATTATAGTTCGTTTCTGTGTGTGTAACATTTTAATGTTGTGTTTTTGTTGTGTCGTTGTTCTCCTGTTATATTTGATGCGTTTCCCTCAGTTTTAGTTTGTAACCCGGATTTGTTTTTATCTCTATCGATTTATGAGTTTCGAACAGCGGTATACTACTGTTGCCTTTATTTATACTCGGTACTTAACGCTTCAGGTACACTCGATACTTTAAGCTTGAGATACACTTGATACTGAAAGCTTCAGAAGGCAAACATATAAATATTTTCGAGTATGTAATCAAAAGGAACCCAAACAGAACATCCAGAATCTTCACATGTGACCTTTGCTGAAGAAAGGGAAAATTATAATCACAGTTGACGTACAATTAAAAACCAAATGACAATTTACCATCATAATATATCTATGATTTGTTTGTTTTCAACAGTACTAGCTACTGAACGGACAATCATTAGTATATCTGTAATACCAGCTTCTAAACGGAAAGTCATCAGTATGTCCGTAATAATAGTTTCTGAACAGACAGTCATCAGTATGTCTGTATTACTAGCTACAGAACGGACAGCCATTAATATGGCTGTAATGCTAGCTCCTGAACGGACATTCATCAGTATATCTGTAATACTAGCTACTGAACGGACAGCCACCTGTATGGTTGTAATACCAGCTACTGAACGAACAGCCAAACAGTATGTCTATAATACTAGTTACAGAACGGACAGTCATCGTTTTATCTGAAATGCTAGCAAGGAACGGCCTGCCAACCAGTATGTCTGTAATACTAGCTACGCAACCGAGAGCTAATCAGTTAATCTGTAATACTAGCTACTGAACGAACAGCCGTCCCTGTGTCTATAATACAAGTTACAGAACGGACTGCCATCCTTATGTTTGTAATACTAATTACTGAACGGACAGCCATCATTATGTCTGTGATACTAGCTACTGAACGGCCAGCCAACCAGTATGTCTGTAATACTTGCTACAGAAAGGACAGCCGTCACTGTGTCTGTAATACTAATTACTGAACGGACAGCAGTCAGTATGTCTGTAATACTAAATAAAGGCAACAGTAGTATACCGCTGTTCGAAAACTCATAAATGGATAGAGATAAAAACAAATCCGGTTTACAAACTAAAACTGAGGAAAACGCATCAAATATAAGAGGAGAACAACGACACAACAAAAACACAACATTAAAATGTAACACACACAGAAACGAACTATAACATAACAATGGCCATTCTCCTGACTTGGTACAGGACATTTTAAGAAAAAAATAGTGGGTTGAACCTGGTTTTGTGGCATTCCAAACCTCCCGCTTTTATGGCAACGTCAAACACAACACCAAAACGACAACATCACATGACAGGACCACAATACAAATAAATGGGAGAACATATAGGACAAAGAAACACACGAATAATAGCTAACAAAAGGTACTAAGCTTAAAATTCAATACGCCAGACGTGCGTCTCGTCCACACAAGACCAACCAGTGACGCTCAGATGAAAAAAGTATAAAAGCCAAAACAAGTACAAAATTACTGAACGGACAGCCAATATAATGTCTGAAATACTAGCTATTGAACAGCCAGCCAACCGGTATGTCTGTACTACTAGGTACTGAACGGCAAGCCAACCAGAGTGTCTGTAATTCTAGCTACTGAACGGCCAGCCAACTAGTATGTCTGTAATACTAGCTATAGAACGGATAGCTATTTTTTTGTCTGTGATACTAACTACTGAACGGACAGCCATCATTATATATTTGATACTAGTTACTGAACAAACAGCTAACCAGTATGTCTGTAATTCTTGCTACAGAACGGACAGCCATTATCATGTCGATTATACTACCTACTGAACGGACAGCCATCATTATGTGTGTAATAATAGCTACTAAACGGACAGCCAACCAGTATGTCTGTAATACTAGCTACTGAACGAAAAGCCAACCAGTATGTCTTTGATACTAACTACTGAACGGAAAGCCAACCAGTATGTCTTTAATACTAGCTACTGAACGGACAGTCATCCTTATTTATTTCATACTCACTACTGGACAACCATCTGTATGGCTGTAGTACTAGCTACTGAACGGACAGACAACCAGTAGTGCTAAAGTTCAAAAGTATGATTATGATTTTAGTTCGCGTGAAAGTGTTACTGGAACAAATTTCTATAAATGCAATCGACCAAATCTATTTATATTCTCCCGCAAGAAGGATAAATGGTTAACGGTTCGATTTGGGTCTTCAATTCTAGACCACTATCATACGTAAAACATCATAAAAAAGCATACGATTAGCTGACTAAAGTTGTCGATTTCCTGCAAATTTGTATATTTGATTACCGAAAAGTATGATGATAAACAAACCTGCGCCTATAACCTTTGGGAGCTCATCAGGTAGCATATATCTCACATTCATTTTAAATGATTGTGAGTGTAAAAAAATTGAATATCTTTCAAACATTGAAAATTTTGATAAATGGAAAACAAAAAGGAAATATCGCTGTTATATATTAACACTTAAAGGAAATATTTGTCACTTTTAGTATATATATTTGTTCGTTAACCATGATGTATAATTATTTTGAAGAAAGGACTATGTACAGATTGCAGTAATAACAATTGTGGTCAAATGGGTCTCCATGCCGATCTTTACAAGCCACGAGCTGGTACCGTAAATACTAAATACTATCTCGACACATCGGCTAACAGACCATTCTGTAGTAAGTTATCAGAATTAAAATTACGTATTATCTGGACACATCGGCTAACAGGCCTTATTGAAGTAAGTTGTCAGAATTAACCCAAAAATACTATCTAGACACATCGGCCAATAGACCATTCTGTAGTAAGTTGTCAGAATTAACAGTAAGTACTCACTAGACACACGACTAACGGGTCATATTGTAGTAAGTTGTCAGAATTACTATCTGGACTCATCGGCTAACGGGCCATTCTGTAGTAAGTTGTCAGAATCAACACTAAGTACTACCTAGAAACATCGGCTAACAGGCCATCCTGTAGTAAGTTGTCAGAATTAACACTAAGTACTATCTAGAAACATCGGCTAACAGGCCATTCTGTAGTAAGTTGTCAGAACTAACACAAAGTACTATCTGGACACATCGGCTAACAGGCCATTCTGTAGTAAGTTGTCAGAATTAACACAAAGTACTATCTGGACACATCGGCTAACAGGCCATTCTGTAGTAAATTGTCAGAATTAACGCTTAGTTATCCATAGGTTGCAAGATTGTTTGTACACGATTCGTCTGTAGATACTTTTGACACCAAAATATCTGCTTCTAAATTATGTCTAATGATCCTCTAGTAGCACTGACAATATCAATTACAAATATTCACTGTTAATGTAAAAATTATGTACAAATTGGCAAAGTCATATAACATTTGTTTGACGTGAAGATGTACAAAAAGACGACGGAGAGGTAAACACGCTGAATTAAAGATGCCTTATATTGTGTGATTACCTTTAACAACAATTCCTTATCAAGATATTTTGTGCATTTCCCCCTCAAAATTTGTATGAATAGTAATTTCTTTCGATATTAGATTTATCCTACAAGACACCTTATTCATATGCTGAGCCCACAACGTAATAATATATGGACGAAACCCATCCTACAGAACATCTTATTCATATGCTGAGCCCCAACGTCATAATCTATGGACGAAACCCATCCTACAGAACACCTTATTCGTATGCTGAGCTCACAACGTAATAATCTATGGACGAAACCTATCCTACAGAACACCTTATTCATATGCTGAGCTCACAACGTAATAATCTATGGACGAAATCTATCCTACAGAACACCTTATTCATATGCTGAGTCCACAACGTAATAATTTATGGACGAAACCTATCCTACAGAACAACTTATTCATATGCTGAGCCCACAACGTAATAATCTATGGACGAAACCTATCACACAGAACACCTTATTTCTTTTCGTCGGTGGCATAAACACTCTACGAAAGTTTTGCAAAATTCTAAAATATTCATATTCAAATTAAATGATCATCAGAAAGCAAAGTGCTACAGTGATCAAATTAACATAAAACACAACTGTTTATTTCCCATGGTCCCCTCTCTTTTCACGTAGAGGTAATTAGTTATATGCAAAAATGCTCTTTTAGGATACCATTACCAAATACAAGTAACCATTGGAAGTACTTCTAAACTATGGCGAGGTAAACTTTATGCTTCTATGCACGGAACAAAAGGAGAGATCCCAGATACACTTCTGACCAGCAGGTATGTCCGTACAGCTAGCTTTATTTTCATGTGCACTTCTTGTTCAGTTTTTCTTATTTCTAACAGTTACGTGTTTCTGCACTGTATTGTTCATATAAAAATGTTTCAATGGCGTCTTTTCGATGTAAAACAAATCTTTAAGTTATAGAAAATATATTATTAAGTAATATATTGAAAACTTACATCAAAGGCATACTGAGCGAAATCAACTCGTTAACTAAAAACCATCAGTCGATGGAAGTTCAACAAGACCATCATCAAAATAAAAAGCAGATAAAAGGAAGACTTTAACTCAGAAAAATGAAATAAAGTTTGAGTGTCAAGAACTTCACAAAAAAGCGGGACCTAACCGTTATTGCGTAATACTTAACTGTCACCTAATCTTGGTAGGATCCTTATCAGCTGTATGGGTAATTTTGCTAGTGTCTTAACTGATTCGTATCACGACAATATTTTTAAAATAGAAAACATCTTTATATATAACTTACCTACATTAAAACATTTTAATAAATAAAGTAAATAGTTATCATAATACAAATGCTTTCTTTGTTATGTTGCAGCAGTCAGTATTTTACACCAGGACAGAGCTACAGGTTCTTGGCAACCGCACCACATGACGTTGGAGATGTAAATGATGTAGTTGTTCATTGGCACCATCAATCAACCCTATTAAATCCTTTCCAATGGAACCCTTTCGGAGTTCGTAATCCTACACTGTTAATATCTAGAGTTCATATAGCCCATGCATCAAAACAGTAAGTTCAAATAGAAGATTTACTAGTCGCCGAAAAGTACAAACAGACAAATGAGTTCACTTTTCCTAATCTTTTCTGTACCAAATAAGTTCAGGAGCACACTGTCACTTCTTAATCGGTAGTCTGTCTATGGTAAATCCAAAAAGTGTAAGGCTTCATCATTTTATATTTTTTTCATCGGATTGTTTGTTTGTTGCATTCTTAAGATGTATCACTTATAGTTTTAGAACTGAATTGTTATTGTCATATTTTCTATCGAACATGACTAGAATTTCATTATGAATTTATTGCTTTTTGTAGTTTTATTTAGGTGTAAAAGCGTTGAATGAAGCACGCTTAGTTTAAAGCGCGAAAGTGCTTAATGTAAAAAAGAATGTGAGTACCGACAACGATTTTACACTCTAGCAAAACTACAAAACTTGAAAGAAAGTCTTCAAATCTCATTATAAAAAACTTCAATGCTAAAAAAGAAAACTACGAATTAAATGGAATTTTCGTTAATTTGAAAATATTCGTACGCATTGTTGTAACGGTGTCATAGAGAGAAATTGCATCTATGGACGCTGCATTTCAATAAGATATAAAACATCACTTTAAAACACCACGTGATTTTGTCTGCAAATCAAAATGATGGAATCCTATCAAACATCTTTGTAATGTAATCATAAACTGATCAAAGTTCTACAAAGATTATAAAGAAATTGTTATACTTATTTTCAGTGCCATCAACTGTCATAAATTACCTTCTATTTAACAGGTCGACTTTTTGTACACGAGGAAAGGAAGGATCACTGGAAACTGATACAACTGTACGGTTATATAGGAAATGTTGACAACGTGTCTATAATTAATTGTACAGATAAATAAACTTACACAACACATGCCTTTTCTTGAGGTCTTGTATGGCTCCATTTACCATTTTACGAAAAATTTGTACTTTCTTACTAGAAAAAAACCTCTTCAAAGATACAGTCTTATAAATTGGTACGACAGTCGCGCGTTTGGTCTTCTCATCAGTGGCACTCGAATCAAAAGAGTTGGAAGGGGAAATCAAATACAAAGCTAAAGAGCATTAGAAACCATAAATTCCGAAACGTTGTGCTAATTACCTGGGACCCGTAGATAAAGGGGCATAGAACTAAATTATTTTTTCAATTTTATCGTCTTGAAAAGTGTACCTGTAAATGACTGTTTTGAGAGACATTTTTCTGTTCATACATTGGTGTACTATTTTTATAACTCCTTTCAGGATTGCCTGTTAATATTGATGTAAAATATGTGACATTGGATATGAATGATTGTAGGTAGAGCTACTTTTTTGTAATTCATTTCCTTAATTGTTTTAAGTTGTTATTCTAGTGTCAAAAGTTGGAGAATTTTTCATTCTCTAAGCAAATTATTCAAACACGTTTTGAAATTTTCTTTGTTTCTTATAATTTAAAATTAATTATTTATATTGTTGGAAAGAAGACTTTTCATATGGTGGCACAATATATATTTTTGGTTGAATTTTTTTTCCAAGAATTTAAGTTCAAGATTTTTTCATAATTTTAGTTTTGCCATGTTGACTTATTTGTAGATCTAATTTTGATTCTTGAAAGTATCCCTCTATCTACTATATTTTCAGGTATATATGCCAAAATGGGTAAAAATCATTATGCAGAGGAAATTATAACTCCTATAACTAGTCCTAAGGACAATTTCGGCCATGTTGACTTATTTATAGGTTTAATCTTGCTGAACATTTTTGCTACTTATTGTTTCTCTCTATCTATTATGGTATCTGCAAAAAACGTAAAAAACATTTTTCAAGGGCAATAACTCCTCAAAGCGGTCAATTGACGATTTCGAACATTTGACTTATTTGTAGTTCTTATTTTGATGAACATTTTTGCAATATATTGTTGTTCTCTATCAATTATAGTTTAAAACAAAATACATAAATGAATAAAATGACTATTCAAGGGCAAAAACTCCGAAAGGAGTTTGTTGACAATTTCAGCAGTGTTGATTTATTTATTTGTAGATCTAATTTTGCTGAACTTCTTTGATATTCATAATTTCTCTATCGTTTATGGTATCTGCAAATATGCATAAAATGGGTAAAACATAATTCAAAGGAATGATTCCTATTGTGGCTCAAATTACGATTTTGCCTATGTTGATTTATTTGTAGAGATTTTATTTTGCTGAACATTTTTTTGCAGTTTCTTTCTATCTATTATTCTTTCTTCAAAAAAATGGACAATCAAATAATCTTTAAAGGACAATAACTCTTATTAGGGGGCAATGTTGATTCACATCGCCTTTCTATGCAATTACTCCTATACTATAAGCTGTCAATTGATGATTTCGTCAATGTTGACTTATTTGTAGATCTTATTGCTCTTGTAATTTTTACTGCTATTTTTTTTTTTATCTATTACACTTTTCAAGATAATAACTAAAGCTTAGAAACTAGCAAAAAAATTCTATTCCAGTGGCAATTACTACAGAAAAAAGTAAAATAACAAAAAAACCGAACTCCAAGGAAAATTCAAAACGGAAAGTCCCTTCTCAAATGGCAAAATCGAAAGCTCCAACACATCAAACTAATGGAAAACAACTGTCATATTCCTGACTAGGTACATGCATTTCCTTATGTAAAAAATGGTGGATTAAACCTAGTTTTATAGCTAGCTAAACCTCTCACTTGTAAAACAGTCGCATACAAATTCCATTATATTGACAACAATGTGTGAACAAAACAAAAAGACATTCTCGTTTCTCGTTTTTATATAGATTTAGACCGTTGGTTTTCCCGTTTGAATGGTTTTACACCAGTAATTTTTGGGGCCCTTTATATCTTGCTGTTCAGTGTGAGCCAATGCTCCGTGTTGAAGGCCGTACCTTGACCTATAATGGTTTACTTTTATAAATTGTTACTTGGATGGAGAGTTGTCTCATTGGCACTCATACCACATCTTCCTATATCTATATAATAGGTAAAAATGTCAAAAATAAGGATACAGCAGTCAACGTTGTGTTATTAATTTAATCACTATAAAACAAACAAATATGTCAACGAAGAAAAACAAAATGGAATATAGACAAAGCACATAAGCAAAAATGAAAGATAACAATTCAAAAAATGACCATAGCACAATATCACCATGGCGGGATGTATAAGTACCGAGCCACGCCAAAAGGATATTACCAAAAATGGACTAAATAGTAAAGATTAATAATTTGCAAAGACAAATAAAAGAGCACTTTAACACGTAATTAAGATGATAAACAACGTCAGTACCTAGAATCTATACTTTAAGACCATCATGTATATTATTTGTGAAGTTGATACGGAATATGTTGATAGATCAAATCCTCGGATACATTTGTAAAGCATGCACCTGCCACATGATGGGTTCAAACTCACAACCTCAGTGTTGAGAAGCTAGTAATACAGTAGATAAACTACTAAAAACACTCCGTCACTGAAACCCCTGGGGACATTTAACAGGCTTTTAAATGTGACTATAATAGTACCACGTCATCAACAGTTATGTTTTGTAGTTACACCTAAAAATATCATTATAAATGTTTGACTCTATAGTTATCATGGTCATGTCCATTATAAGGCTAAGTCATTAGGTTTAACGTTATGGACAATGACATTGAATGGGATGAGATGACAAAAGAACATTTAGTCCTTTGAACAGACAGAGCTAGAAAAATATTTTCAGATTAATAACAAATAATTGAAGTAACAAGTTACTAGTGTACCGAATGAAGTTCAACACTGCTCTGAAAATGTCCTTCAACATAAAAATCATTAGCACTTAATTAATTTTAATAAAATGTCACTCTATGATAAAATAAAAAAACTAAAAAAATATCGCACAGAATGAAAAAAAACAACAATTATCACTAGTTATCGCAACATAACTATTTTAAAAATAGTTTAAGAGTCTAAGAATGTTCATGAATTGTTCAATATATTTGGAACAAATTTGACATCATAATGCTCTCATATTTCACGTCAACTGCACATTGTAAAAATGCTGCTCATTACAAAATCTGCATTTCTGTCTGGTGTAGTATTCGGTGAAATGTTACTGTATATAACTACAAAATTACATTGTAAAAAATGAAAACAACATGTTATTAATTTCATGCGTCCGATGCGCTTTTCTGGATTTACCTTCACCAGAAACGCTGAAAGCCGAATATCTAAAAGCCAAGGATGTATAAGAACCGAAATAGTTGATGAAGAGCTATATAACCAAAAAGGATCTGAAAAAATGGACAAATCTATCTAAGGTCAACTTTGCCTGAGGGAGTTGAAGCCTTTTTTTCTGTATAATTTCAAAATTTATAAACTGCAAATTTTAGAAAGGTTTGCGATAATTAATGTTAGTACCAAATACCAAAGTACTGACTACTAAGCTGATGATACCCTCGGGGACTGGTAGTTCTCCTGCAGTGGTATCGACTAACTGCTGTAAAAAATGAAAACCACGCTTTATGATTTTCACTTGTCCAAAGTCCTTTTCTGAATTAACCTTCATCAGGAACGATCTAAGCCAAATATTTGAAAGCCAAGGATGTATAGGAATCGAAATAGTTGAAATAGCCAAATCTATCTAAGGTCAACTTTGCCTGTCAAAAAAATGAACCAATAAATAGAACAAATCTAAATAATGTATAATTATCTTTCCCAATTTTTATAAAATCACTATGAAAGGATTAAATCTAATTTGTGAGATCTATACAATGACACAAAACTGAACACAAGTCAATGAAGCGTACAATGAACGTCAGAGTCAGCCTACATTTTATTGGAGCTATTTTACTCCCATAGATGCATCTTTGTTCCAAGACTTTATATTGTAGGTCATTTTTTCCTGAGATTTGGGCTTGGGTGCAAAACTTGATATGAAAAATGAAGTTTTAAAATGAAAAGCCTCTTGACCATAAATTATGAGTCATTAAAGCTTCAAATTAGTGTGCATGGCTGTTTTCTTAATGATTCATCTGCACAACAAATTAAATGGGTTTATGTCTTTTAATTTCCTAAAACTAGCTGAGGACATCAACTGGAAAAGCTGCATAAAATACAAATGTAAATATGAACCTCAATGAGACTCCAATAGCCACACGCCCCTGCCCCTTACTGTCACTAAGGGGAACATAAAATAAGGGGACTATTTTTATTTCCAGCAATAGTAGATGACCCAATTTGCTGAAAGGTGGTGACCATAAAAAAAACATACGTCAAACTGTTCAGCAAAATCCTGAGTCAAGACAGTCCATTATGTCAACCTGGTTAAATTGTTTTACAATGTATAAGTTATTAAACCTCAACTTGAACAATACATGAGAACACAGGATAGCTTCATCATGATAGTTTCTTTCTTTCGGACGGACGGACAAACAGACAGACAGACAGACAGACAGACAGACAGACAGAGTCGAGCGGTTACTAGACCTGCAGTCACCTTCGGCGATGCAGGTAAAATCAATTCCGACAGAGAGCAACCAACGACAATTGGATTTTGAAAAATGGTGGAAAATCTCAAACAATCAAATAATAGCAGGGACACAATATAATTGAAGTTTCTCTCAGGCCACTGAATTGAAAAAATGTATAATAAGAGATGATTAGATAAGATAGCTGACCAACACCCACACGCAGATATCCCACCAACACAATTAAGGTGAAAAAGAACACAAGTGGATTTAACAATTCTGTCGATATATTGAAAGTACCAGAATGAAATTCAACCATCCATTAAGGCAGAAGGCATTCATGAGACATAGTTTTAATATTCACTCTTTTTAAATAAATGCAGAATATCGTAAACTTTCGGATTGAAAATTTAAAAAAA